ACAAGATGACAGACACTTCACACCAGTGTGGGTCATTTATTTACAATCAATGATGCATAAACCTGAAACTAAGTTAAATAAAACTATTATGTTCAAAAGTTTAATTTATATACTTAACTTTAAGAGTATTTAAGTACCTTTAAAGCCAGGCAGAATGGTTTAAAATGTAGCAATTTATTTCTTAAAATTGTTAATATCCCACAATATTAGAAAAAAATAATGCTGGGACAGTTTTTTTTTTAAATATTCTGCTTCTCATAGCACATGAACACAGACAATAATGTGCTGAAGGCCTAGGGGAACCGGGGGCAGGGTGGGAGAGGCAAAGGGGGTGAACTGAGGGACATCTGTAATAGAGTCAACAATAAAAAAAAATTCTCTGCTTCGGAATTTCTCCAATTTCTCAAATGATGAAAAACCTACATTTACTGTGTTCATAAATAAAATTATAGAAAGAAAATGTTTAATGACACAAACTAAAACAAAAATAAATAAAATTATAGAAACATAATAGCAACTTATTTGTTTATAAACTTCCCCAAATAAAAATAGTAAAAAAGAAAAGATTTTTTTAAAACGCCTTCAAAATTATGGTAGTCCCAGTTCTGAATCTAAGTTGCTAGATTCTAAGTTTTTCTCCTTCCTGTATTGATAAATATTTGGACTTGAATGAGATGACTGGCTGTAATTCCTCTAACTGTATATGCTGGAAACAAAAGAAGGGCTTGCAGGGCATTCCTAAATATCATTTTTAAGAGAGAACTAAGATATAAGATACAAAGAGGGGACAAGTTGAAACAAAAAAGTAAGATCAACTAAATTCTTCACGAAGAAAATCTACAATGAGACGTTTTAGTTTGCTTGACTCAGCCTTCTTTAAGTTGCCAAGGACACAGCAGCACAGATCTTTCCTCCTCCTCACCCTGTATTGGTCTCCAGAGTAAGTCTGGTGAGCTGTGACAGCACCAACCAGAAGCAAAGGGCCTTGAAAGATTGTAAGGTCATAACAAGAACCAAGAAAAGAAAACCTAAATAAACAAGAGGGAGAAAAAGCCACACAGCTTGCTGAATTTTCTATCCAAGGCATGCTTCTCATTGGTGGATTGATCATGCTAATCATTGGTAGATTTTTCTACCAATGATTAGCCTGATAGAACTTGGCTGTTTCTGATTATAGAAGTGTTAACACAGGGAGGAAATTTTTATTTAAAAAAAAAAAGTTTTATAGTAAATTAAATTTTATTACTATTCTTAAACAGAAAACCAGTAAAGCTTAAATAAGTAGTTTTTAATGTAAAGTCAAATCAAGTGGCATTCATGGATGCCTCACTACATTTCTTTAAGAAATCATGTAAGTGAATTAATTGTCTTTAGTCATTTATTATTTGAAAAAGTTTTAAGTGATATAACCTAAAACTAGTGTTGAAAAAGCAATTATATAACGGTTGAAAAACAAACATTTCTAGTGTGTTTAAGAATATTCAGAATTAACAAAAACAATAAATATTTTTAATTTATGAAATTGAATTAATTTATTATTTATAGCTTTTTAAATTATCTAACTCTAAGGCCCTTAAATTATTTAATATTCAAGTAAATATAATTAATATTTCTGTATGTTTTTAAAGACCATTTAAAGGTTTCTAAATTTCACTTTAACTGGTGAAATGTCTAGTGGGGTAAAAAACAGAGCAGGTAGATCTCAGAAAGTACTGGTGAAACAACATTTTAAAAAACGCTCTGCATCTTTTATTTACTCAACTCTCTAAAATCTGGTTTTTCAAAGAAGTATACTAATCACACTTTTACTTAAGACCACTAATGAGCTCTCTTGACTTTTATGCTGCATTTGATAGTATTGTATATTTACTCCTTAAAGTCTTTCCTCTCTTGTTTTTTGGGGGGACCAATCTATTTACTCTCCTACATTTATGTATACTTTTTCTGTGTCCTAAATTAGCTTCTATCTTCTACTCATCCCTCATTTTTGTATTTCTCAAAAGTTTGGGCCTCTAACCATGTGCAGTGGAAACACCTGAGCTTCACTCCGGACCTACTGGTTCAGAACCCATGGATATAAGTTCCAAGACATCCGCCTTGTAACAAGCTCCCCCAGGTGATTCAAGTGTGAGAATTACTGTTTGAAATGTTGAGCCAGGCCCTGGCCTGCGTGGCTCGGTGGTTGAGTGTAGACCTATGAACCAGGAGGTTGCAGTTCAATTCCCGGTGGGGGCACATGCCTGAGCTGCAGGCTGGATCCCCAGTTTGGGATGTGCAGGAGGCAGATGATCAGTGATTCTCTCTCCCTCTCCCTTCCTCTCTGAAATCAATAAAAAATATATTTTAAAAAATAAATGTTGACCCAGGAAATCCTTTCATTGGTCCTCTTCTACCTCCACCTGTTACACATGCACAATTAAAATTACACCCCAAATTTCCACTACTTACTGCTATCGATAGGATGTATAAGCTGCCACTTCCCCCTGCCAGCACCTATAATCACACCTGACGCAAAGAATATTTGTTTGATGAACACGAAGACTCTCAAACCTGCTTTGTCAAACAAGATCTATCCTTTTTAGGCTCCATACCTGCATATGAAGCTCTTCAATAGACATGTCCACCTGGACGTCCTAAAGCTACCCTGAATCAGTTAGGATTCAGTTCAGCTAACAATAACAGAAAAACCTAAAAGAATAGAGGTTTATATAACATAGAAGTTTATTTCTCTCAGGTAATAGTCTGGAACAGGTTAGTATGAAAATGTTGCTCCACAAAGTTCACAGAGACTCTGACTCCTTTCTACTTTCCACTCCACTATGCCTAGAATATGGTCCCCATTTCATGGTACGAGGCAGAGCTCCACCCAAAACAACCACATCTCTAGCAGCAGGACAGAGCAGGAGGAAGAAAGAGAGATGGGTACATTCATCTCTCTGTAATACACCTCCTGGAAGTAGAACACACTACCTGTACTTTTATTCCATTGACCAGGACTTAATCTAATGATCACATCTAATTGCTAGAGAGGCTGTAACTGTAGTCTTTATGTTAGGCAGCCAACTTGTATTACTAAGAAAAAAAGGGAGACCAGATGCTGGAGGACAATAGCATTTGTAGCCACACATTCCAAAGTCACTGTGTCACAAACTGAACTCATCAGTTTTCAAGATAAACTGTATAATTTTAACCTTTGTGATGTGTCTACTCTACCTTTATCTCCATTCCCCTTACCAAACTCTTTCTCCTCTCTTAATAGTCTTATCATGTGTCTTTTTGTGAAGCTTTTCTTTAACCAACCACTTTTACCTCCAGCCTAAACAGACTGGATGTCTTTGAACCAACTTCATATCTAGCATACATCTCTATTTTTACATTTTTAATTCTATATCATATTTTTAAATCTATCCCTCCAATCATCCCTCTCCCAATAGATAGCAAACTTCTTGAGGACAGAGACTATGCCTCATTTATCTTAGTATCACATGCATATAGATCTGTATCATACTAAATTTTACAAAAATCAATCACTAATGTCTGCTTCATACAATTATGGCACTAAGAAACTGTTAAGAGTTGCCTAATAAAAAGAACATCATGGTATGTAGTATTGTGTTAAAGACACAAATTACAAAAAATTCCTCCCTAATCTGTGGTTTGCTTTCCATGGCTTCAATTACACATGGTCAACTCCAGCCCAAAAATATTAAATAGAAAATTCCAAAATAAACAATTTATATGTTTTAAATCATGTGCCATTCTAAGTAGCATGATAAAATCTCACTTCATCCTACTCCTACACAACCAGGACATGAATCATCCCCTTGTCCAGCATCTCCATGCTATATACGCTACCCACCATTAGTCACTTAGTAGCCATCTCAGTTATCAGATCCACTGCCATGGTATCACAGTGCTTGTGTTCAAGTTACCCTTATTCTACTTAATAGCCCCAAAATGCAAGAGTAGTGATGCTGGCAATTCAGATATGCCAAAGAGAAGCCAAAAAGTATATGTATGTATAGGAAAAAACATAGAATATATAGAGTTGGGCAGTATCCAAGGTTTTAGATATCCACTGGGAGTTTTGGAACATATTCCCTACAGGTAAGAAAGGACTAATGTAATACGGCTACATGTGCTTACCTCTATTCCCTTCCTCCACACAGCTTACCTACTAATTTTCTACATCCATTTTCTCTTTTTCTAGTATAAATAAATTTAGTGAGGTAAATTTTAAGTATGTTTACATTTAATTCCACTAATAAGTTTGTATTTAACTTAGGCCAATGAATGGGTTATGTGCATGGACCCATCTTAAATCTCAGCAGCTATTCCACTCTCAGAAAACCAGGTTAGGCATGTCTACGCCCTTGGAAGAGTCACCAAAAAAATCCAATGTTTTGATGACTTTTCTCTGAAAGAAAATATCCAGAAAATCATAGTATTCAACTTATGAAACACAACATCACAACTGATAAACCCATTACTAAAATAACATACTAATCTATGATGGCTTCCATAGGGTCGAAATGTTCACTGATGTGTAGATTTTACTTAAGACTATCAAAGTATCAATTTAATTGTAACATGACCAAAATCATGTAAAACATGTATGTAATAATTGTTATGCCCAACCTTTTAAATTCTATCTTCTAGATATAAACAGTGGAATACCATGTGTAATTTTAAGTTTAATATCAACTATAAAGGAAACTAAGTACCCCAAAGTGCTTATAGCAGCGAGGCTTCAATGGTCCAAGAATAGTTCCAGCTTTGCACATATCTCCAGTGTAGACTGTGAATTCAGACTATGATACTGGGTTGGCCCTCAATAATTCTAATCACAGTCTTCTTTTATCTCCAGTTCTCTAGCCTGGACAGTGCCCTCATTGTTCTGCCTGTGGCTCCAGTGGGTATGAAATGCTAACCTCAATGCCAATAGCAGTTATATATTTTTTTAATAAAATAAAAGAAGATGTAGTTACGTATTATCTTACCATTGGCTCCTGGTGGTTGCAATACATCTCCTGCCAGACGACACCACCCAACTGGGAAAATATCTCGGCAATAGTATTTGCACCAGTAATCAAAAGCTCCACTCCAGCCATCAAATGTAATATGAACTTCATCTCCTCTAACACCTCCAATAGTTGCAGGACATATCATATCCGGATTCTTTTTGTCTACAGCTTCTAGTTTCATCCCCACTTTAAAGTTATTTAGAGGTGGCTTTGGTGGTTCCTATCAAAACATTTAAAAAGTTTTCATTGTTTAGATATATTAAGAAGCATTTGCTCAATTGATTCTTAAAACCTGTAGCAACTAAAAATTGAGTTCTATGCTTATCAACTAAAATACAGGAAAAAAACAGTTCTTAGAAATCGCTCTGCAGCCCTGTTCTACAACATCGCACTTACTCTGAAGCAGAGCCAAGAACCTGGAAGGAAACAAAACCAGCATGACAGTAATTTAGACATTCATTTACTCATTCATTCAAGAAATATATATATTGTATACTATGTACCAAGAATTCAGGATTTATTGGTAAACAAAAATATCAAAGATACCTGCTCTGGTAGAGCTTAAATTCTAGTGGTGGTAGTAATAGGGTTAGGGGCTGAATGGGGGCAAAGGGGAGAAGCAATCAATAAGAAAGTTTAAAAGAGGGAGTCAAACAAATCAATAAAAATTATAGGTGGTAAATCTATAGAGAAGGCAGACAAAAGAACATGAAAGTCATATATATTATATATTCATAATATATTGGATATGTATGATAACCAATCCAGAATACTTTAAAAAGTATGCCTTAGTTTCAAAAGTTAAAGCATGCAAATGCTAACAGGATTCTTAGAAAGCCCAAGTGCTCTGTTGAAAGCAACATCTTTTCTTTCAATTTGCATTTTATCCTAGTAAATGGCACCATCAGCTCCCTAATCATCCAAGCCAGAAGCCTGGAAATAATTCTAGACCAGTGGTTCTCAGTCCAACTGAACATTAGACTCACCTGATGGTCACACCACAAGAGAAAGTATTAAACTGGTCTTGGGTGGGGCCCAGTCATCAGCACCTTTTAATTTCCCAGGTGATTCTAATGTCCATTCAAGGCTGAGAACCACTGCCCTGAAGACATCCTTTCCCATTAAAACTCACATTCAAAGACCACAACCTGCCAATTCTACCCTCTAGATCTCTACAAAACTAACATTAAAAGCTAACCTTTAATTAGTTAGTATATGCCAAGACACTGTTTTCTATATATTAATTTAATTCTCCCAATACCCTATGAAGTCAGTGAAATTATTATCCTCATTTTACAGGTGATAAAACTTATGCACAACTGCCTAAGAATACAACATAATACATAATATCAGAGTTAGATTTTAAACCTAGGCAACTAACTCATTGCAACACCCTACCCCATCATCTGCCTGGCCAACTAACTCCAACTCATCCACTTCCAAATCACAGTTCTCTTGGTCTCTTAAGGCTTCCATGACCAACTCCTGCCCACTCCTAGGCCCACCTCAGAGGCACTCTTGCCTTCAATTGTGAAACTACTGTTAGAATGTGTTCACTCCTCTATGAGATGAATGGATTCTCAAAACAGGTACTACATCTTATTCATGTTATTTCCAGCACAGGACCCAACAGCAAGCAGTTAAAAAAAAGAATGAGCCGAAACCGGTTTGGCTCAGTGGATAGAGCGTCGGTCTGTGGACTGAGAGGTCCCAGGTTCGATTCCGGTCAAGGGCATGTACCTGGGTTGCGGGCACATCCCCAGTAGGAGATGTGCAGGAGGCAGCTGATCGATGTTTCTCTCTCATCGATGTTTCTAACTATCTCTCTCCCTTCCTCTCTGTAAAAAATCAATAAAATATATTAAAAAAAAAAAAGAATGAAACAAGGAGTCACCTGAAGAACAGTAAACAAGCTCCCAACTAATTATTTCACCAAGATATAATTTAAGAAACATATCTGGTAGGTTGGTCCCTTTATAAAATGCCTCTATAAACCCATCTCATTATCCATATTTTTCCACTGTTATCCTTTATACTCTTGCAATTTGAAAATTCCTTAATTATTAGCCATCAATGTCCTTTTTAATTACATATTTTTAATTTGATTCTTTAAAACCACCCTGAAAGTCAGCAGAACAAAAATTAGCTTGAGCAAATATCAAAATATTTAATAACTAAACAACTGGTAAGAAACAAGATTTACATATTGCCACTAAAGACCAATTATCTGTTACCATATATGGGGTACAGGGGGGCATATTTAACAAAAGATAACTTGGTAGTTGATAAATTTATGCTGGACATTCACAGAATGCAGGAAACATTCAAGGCACACATAAGGTTCCCAGGACCTTAAAATGTCATATGACAGAATAAAAGGAAAAACTGTCTGTAGCAAAGCAAATTAAGTTCAAATGGCAGTACACACTTTTCTGCTATTTATTCTCTAAATATTTTCATACTACTTATTAATTCTTCTAAATTTTATAAACTTACTTATCTATTTTACTTACATCAGCATACCCATACAAACAAATATTAACAGACTCTGAAAGAAAACAAATCTTTTTTTTTAGATTTTTTAATTGATTTTTAGAGGCAGAGGAAGGGAGAGGGAAAGAGAGAGAAACATCGATGTGAGAGGAAACAGTGATCGACTGCTTCCTACATGCAGCCCCCGCCCCACCAGAGATCAAGCCTGCAACTCAGGCAAGTGCCCTGACCAGGAATCGAACCAGCAATCTTTTGGTGCACAGGACAATGCCCAACAAACTGAGCCACACTAACCAGGACACAAATCTTTATTTTTGAAAAAGGAAACTGCTCTTTTTGTATAACATAGTAAATGAAAGGGCTTTATCTCAAAATAAGGTACCTCCAGATTTAGATAATTAGCAAAATGGTTCCCTCTGCTGCCCATGAAAGGTAATGATACTGCTTTTAAATGATTTTAAAGAATATGCTTTGCCAACATTAGTTCTTGAATGACTTCCTAACATAAACATTTAATTTGCAGAAGCAATAGTAAAATAAACAAGGGTCACTGTCTTTTACTGTGAGAAAAGTGATTCTGTTCAAGAAGGTGGCAGTAAAGAATGCTTTTTTAACCTCCTTCCTCACTTACCTACAATATGGTTCTACTTAAAGGATATTTCTTCCCAAATCCCACCAACTCTGAAGCCAATCTCAGTATTACCTGCATTAATCCTCTGCCTGAAATATTCTTACCCTTATAATCTCATGGTTCATTCTCTCCCTTTCTTCAGATATTTACTCAAATGGCACCTCCTCAGCAACACCTTCCTGACTAATCTATCTAAAATGTCACCCTCCCTTATCCTTAGTGTATATATAACTATGAAACATCATATATTCATACTTTATTTAGCATGGTTTGTTATACATTTCCCCAGCTAGAAGGTAAGCTTCATAAGGGCAGGAAAGGTGTTTTTCACTCTTTTGTATAAAGCTGTATTCCCAGAGTCTACCTCTGACCACAAACTCCTATCCTTAACTTCTACTTCCTTACTTTTAATCAACTATTTATTTGACCTCATCAAGAAGTCTAGTCCTTTAACCTTCATTTATCCATTTACAAATATTTACTGAGTGACTACTACATGCCAGACATTACTGAAGGTTCTTGATATATATTAACTAGCAAAACAGATTTTTTAAAAAAACACCCTTGTGGTGCTAGTAAAGAGAAAGATAAGATACCATGATAAAATAAGTAAAATATAGTCTATGTTAGAAATAAGTGCTATGCAAAAAAAGAGAACAGAGAAGAATAAGGGCCAAAGAACATTGTATAGGAAAGATTGTGCAATTTCAAATAGGGTGATCAGGACAACCCTCATACAGAAGGTGATAGTGAGCAGAAACCTGAAAAGAGGTGATTATTAACCATGCAGCTATGCAGAGGAAAAGTGTCCCAGGCAAAGAGAACAGCCAGGGCCTAAAGCAGGAGATGTGTCTGAAATGCTTGAAAACAACAAAGAAGCAAGTATGGCTAAAATGTAGTCTGCAAGTATGAGAGCAGAAGGAAACAAGGTCAGAGAGAGAATAAAGGGTCATATTATGTACAGTGGTGGAGGCAACTATGAGAACTCTGGATTTTATTTGGAGTAAAATGGAGAGCTCCTGGATGGTTTTGAGCAAAGGACTGATATAATCTCACCTTTTTTTTTCAAAGGAATATTCTGGTTGCTGTGTTGACTACCAACTCTAAGGTTATAAATAAAGAGGCCACTAAGGAGGCTACTGCAGTAATCCAGGTGAGATATAAAAGTAGTTTGTACCAGTCTGATAACAATGGAGATGTCAAGAAGTGGTTGTATTTTGAAGGTAGAGCCATTAGGCTTTCCTTATGAACTGGATACAGTGTGTGAAAGAAATAATCACCAAGGTTTCTGGCCTGAGGAACCAGAAGGATCATTGCTACTCCCTGATATGGGAAAGGCTGCAAGAGGAGTAGTTTGAGATATATATTAGATATTCAAGTGGAGATGTAGAGTAGGTAGGCTGGATATACAAATCTGAGTTGGGAGCAAAAGGTCTAGATTGGAAACACAAATTTGAAAAAGTCATCTGCATATAAAGCGTATGTAAAGACAGGAATTAGATGAGGTCACCAAGAAATTAATAAGGATCAGAGTTTCTCAACCTTCGGCCATCTGAGGCCAGACATTCTGTTGTGGGGGCCGTCCTGTGCACTGTAAGATGTTTAGCAACATCCCTGGTCTATACCCACTAGATACAGGTAGTACTCCTACACAAAGTTGTAACAACCAAAATTCAAAATTGTCTCCAGATGTTGCCAATGTTCCTTGAGGGCAAATCGCTCCCCTTCGCAGCTGAGAGCCACTGATATAGATGAAAAAAAAGAGAGAGAGAACCAAACACTCTAACATTCTATCACACCTTTTCAATTCCAGGTTACAGAGCATCCTGTCACCACTTTCTCCTCAGCACCCAAAACCAACTTATTGCCTTGTGCTTGTTCTGTTATCTCCAAATCTTAGTTCAATATCATATCCACTTTACCTATATATACTTATTTGCTGAGCACTGATGAAGAAAAGTCCCACATGCTAATTACATGTAGTGCCACACATATTTAGTCTTCATCTTTAGCTGAACCCTCCAAAATGGCCATGTATGCCTAGGCTGTTACCTCTCCAACCCCATACAAAAGACTAATAATGCATCCTCATTATA